GGAAGCATTAACGACCCGAAAGACTAAAGCATGCTGAAAATTCATATTGCAAATTTGCATAATTTACATCAATTAGACTTCAAAAAGCCACCAAGTAAATGGTTCTCGAGTTTCAGCACCTCAGGAAATCCCAGTTTCTGATTGGTTTAAAGTGTAACTGTATTTCCAATCATTGGGGAAAGCTGCCTACCCCCTTTTTTTTTGCGAATGGGTACATTTGACTGCACACATACTTCCTGGTTTATGTTATGGATGACAGCTATTAGAAGTTTATCATCCAACTTTTAACTTTTATAAACATAAGATACACAACACTCTTAATACATGTTTTTGCGGATGTGAATTTTACTTTTAAGTGGTGAAGGCACAAGAGAAATGCCATTACTGTTACATGGAAATTATAAAGCACTTCAAGTTTACAAACGGGTTTATATTCATTATTTCATTATAGCAGGGCCTCAGGGGGAAAATGCTATTAAAAATTAAGAAAAAAAGAATTCTTCCAAGTTTACAGATGAATCATATAGAGGCCAAGAAGTTCACCTACAGCCAGGCTACAAATTAGGAGCAGAGAAAAAGAAGCAGCCAAAACCTCTAACTGATCTTAATCACCCCGAGTATATCTACTGTGCTAAAGAGTTTTTGCTTTTATTTTACTTAAACAAATCAAGGAAAAACCAAGCCAAAACAAAATCAAGGAAAGACGTGAAGAAAGAGAGAGGGAAGAGTAGTGGGGAGGGAGGGAGAGAGATCGAGACTGAGAATTTGCCTTAAATTGTGCTGGTGCAAATGAGAGATTTTAGAAGTTCTAAAAACATCACGAGCTTTTAACTGTTCATTTTTAAGGAAAAAAGTAATGACTTTGGAGGCGTGTTAATACTAGTGAGTACCACCTTATTCACACCTAGAGTAGAAACTCAAATTAAAAGGGGGCTATAAAGTGACCAGTCTCTTGAAGGAACCTTAAAGTGGCTTGGCTGTGGTTCGGGGAGATATAGCCTGATATAATTAAGACAAAACCACAAATGGCTTTTCTGGGCACTGAGTCTGAATTGTAAGCTTAATCATTGTTTGGAATCACTTTTAGGCAGAAATCTGAAAATTGCCCTCTCCTCCAAATAACAGCAGGTTATAAAGGTTTCTGGAATGCTGAAGAACTTGAAGAGGAGAACAAAATAAAAAATCAGCTGCTATCATCTGAAAAAACTTAAGAAACTACAGTTTACCCTCGTAAAGCAAAGGAAGGATGGCACCTCTTTTTTTTCCCCACACAGAATATCTCTCAATTTGTAAATAAAACTAAATGAAACATAGCGTGGGAATGAAAATCTATTCTGTTAGTCTGGGCAGTATATATTTTATACAACTGCCCCACTTGTACTCTTGTGCTATTTTTCAATACCGGTAACAAGGGGGTGAACATAAATTTTCTTCTAAAGCATTTTAAAATATAATGATCAAAGTTTCTCTAAAAGCATAAAGTACTGATCTCAAGTAATTGTTGGGAACTTTCGGGAAGTAAATTCCCATAGTCAAAATGAGCCAAAAATTACAACTTCCCGGTATTAGACTTACTTCGGTTGTAAAAGGAAGCCCGATGTTAGTGTAAGAAGTTAATCCTTGGCTGATTACTTTATGATTACTTCTCGAACCTTGTGTTCAAGTCTGGTTTAGGAGTCATCAAAGAGCTCCCTATTCCAGATGAAGTGAAACCTACTTTATCTCTGTGGCAAGTGTTTGGCTAATGGGTCTAACCTACTTAGAAAAGGACGCGTCCTGAAAGTACAAGAAAGCTGCAGTCAACGGTTGAGCCTAGTGGCAAACTTTTTAAGAAATGGCTTTAGATTTTTAAAAATTCAGAACATGGTTTTTAAAATAATTAAGAAACAGTTTCTGCATGTATTTCTTTAAATATTTTAAGAAAAATGTGTGTGTGTGTGTGTGAGAGAGAGAGAGAGACAGAGCAAAAGAGAGGGAGAGATAAAGGGAACACACTTGCACGCACGTGAGGAATTTAAACATTTCAAGTCTGAAACCATTTCAGGTGAGAAGTCATGGGCACAGAGTTCTGTAGTAGGAAGAGTCACTTTAAGAAAAAAAAAGTATCAAATTCTGTTTCTGCTTTTCAGTTACTAGCATTCTGTTTCAAATCCTGCTTCAAGTTATAGTCCCCAAACTCTCACTCATATTGAAAGTATAATGTCTCAAGTGAGAAGAGAGCCAAGTGTTAGTAGCCTTATTCTAGTCATTAAATTTCTAAGTGTGAATCCATATGAAAAATCCTATCCTAAAGTGAACTCTACATGGTAAGTAGTTGAGATGATTTTAAAATGTAAACTTTTAACAACAGAAAAAGAGAGTAAGGTGTAAAAATGTAAAAGGAGCAAATTAAAGAATTCAGTGACATTCTATCCTTTTAGATCTTACAAGCATATGTTTTTAAAAGCAAAACAGCACTGTCCAAGGGAACAAATCTAAAAAAACCCCCCAACACTCTCTTTATAGTATACACAAAAGTCTCTTCCATTGCATAAGAGAAGTAGGCAAAAAGCTGCCTTGGGGGAAATAATTCTCTGGTATTTAGTGAGGGCAAATGTTACCTGATATGTGTATATTTATAAAGCATAAGGTAAAAAAATAGTGTAACTTATTATATCTTAATTATAAAGTTTTAGCAGGCATTCTTTTTCTGTTTTAGCTCTAAATCTTATTACAACAACCCAACTAGATCTGTGGTCCTTCCTGTGATTTCTACCAGTTTGTCCTGACAATTGCATTATAAAGCTCTTGATTACTTCTATTTCTTGGACTAATTTATTAATTTTTGGATATTATGTCATCAAAATCTATGAATGAGGACATATATTATAGTGTATAATAGATTGATAAGAAAAAAACATTCATGGTAAAAAGTATGTAAAAGGAATTACATATATATATTCTTATAAATGCTTATGCGTGAAACACTAATTTATAAAACTTTGAGCTGGACCATTTTAGGATGCGTGGACTAAACATATATGTAAACCATAGTAACATGAAAAAACATTTAATGTATAGGCTATCTTTTAAGTTATAGGAGGAACAATTTGGTATATTAACAGCATACCACTAAGCTGACATTCTTTCAAAGTTTTTCCAGAAGTTGTTGGTAAAATAAATAATTATAGCTATGTTACGGCAATAGCTGTATTAAAATATTTCAACTGGAGATCTGTTTTTTATTGTAACTAAAAGCAACCTGTTGCAGTAATTTTTGAAATGGTTAAAGATTTGCAGATGCAAAATAACAGGGATAATAAGGCCTACCTGGAAGCCAAATTAAAAACGGATAAATTTTGATGGTGGAAATACAATTATAAATGCTTCACCATTTTCATCACAAGGTAAAAACATTCCTTCCTGCCCCCTTTCTTGTACCGATATGTGGTGATGGGTGATAACTAAAACTTGCGGTGGTAATCATTTCACGATATATGTCTGTCATTACGCTGCACACCTTAAACTTATACAGTGCAGTATGTCAATTATATCTCAATAAAACTGAAAAAAATATTGCCCAAAAATTCACCAGAAGGAAAAAAAAATCAATAATTCAACGGTAAACTCATTGAAAATAGCTTTGTGTCATATGTAGAAAATGAATCCACTTGTGTTAATACATATTATTCTATTTCTTCACTTTCATAATCTGCACATTTTGATAGTCTGTCACGTGGGAAACTACTAAATTAATATTTTACACAAACAAGACCACGACTGAACTTTCAAAATTAGGAAATCTGGATGTAAACCTTGGAAGTCTGTTTTCTCTTTGAAGCTTCCCATGTATACGATACAATCGTATTGACTGAAGGAGTAATACTGAAGCCTGGAACTGTTCAGTCAGCATTTTAAACTATTATGAGCTACCTTCTGAACCATTGCCAAGTTAATAGACAATGAAAGATAATGAGCTTGAAATTGGGTGTTAAATTGCATTTTTGGTTCTCTCCCTTTTTCTTGAAGTTTAACTGTTTCCTGCAGAAACAGAGTCATGTTTTGATGTATCACTATGTAAATAGGTATTTTAGGCCATGACAAGGGAAAGGAGAGAAAAAAGGCAGCGAACTGTATTTCATGTAGGAAGGTTATATATTAACACAGGAAAATTAAAATATGCTGGATTATAAAACTGCTAGATTGTAAACTACACTGGATTTATGTAAAATGAAGTTGCTACATTCAAAGAATATAAAAAGGTATATTACTCATGGCCTAGAGCCACCTTAAAAACTCATAAAGCAGATTTATCCCGGTTCAATTACTTAGACTTTTAGTAGGGTCTCTTTGTGTTGTTATTTCAACAATGTAAAATTCTTGATTCAAACAAGGGAAAAGAGATAATGAATGAGGGAACTGAATGATGATGCTATTTAAACTCTTTTCCTTTTGCCTTTGTCATTCAGAGAGGATACTGACAGTTTAATTCTAAACAAACTGAGGGTTTTTATGTAATTTTACTAAACTGGACAAAGGAAACATTTGATTCTTTGAAAATCATCTTTAAAGTAGTTAAAAAAATGAACACCAAACTTCATGAATGTCATTCACCTGAATTTTTGAGGACTGAAGATTTCATTCTGATGGGAAGAAAGGCTTATCCTCACTAGTATAATTGTAGAATCTTTCCTTTACTTCCTTTTAAACTAATGAGTTACATTAATCCAGGTTCATCTTTATAAGCCTCTTGGGGCTAAATGTAAAGGACAGTCATCTTAGAAAACAATAAATTAAAAAAAAAGCATGTACCGTGCATTAAGTGCACGTATTTCATAAGGCCTAGGTTAATACAACTAGCATCCAGTTTAATTAATCCTTGTTAGTGTAACAGCTAATATCCGTCCCTAGCATGTTTCCTTTAAACATTAGTATGTTAATTAAATGTTGTTTTTTTTTAAGATTTTTCTTTGTACTTCAATATGGCATTTATACCATGTAAATCTCTTCTCAATAACTACCTTATAGAGATGTTTTCTTACAATATCTGGTCTCTTGCAGAAATTCTGGAGCCTTTTTGAAAGCTGTTCAGGTGTAGAATACAGATATTCAGCTGCAGGAAAAACAGATACATTTTTAATGAAACAAAAACCTCAAAGCACACACTTGATATTAGTCACTTTACTAATTAAAAATGCATATTGCTCTGTGCCGCCTCGTGTTTTACATTATTTAAGCATGATTTTATAAGGTTACCTCAGCTCACAAGGATGTTTAATGCTAAATAAGACTGTGTAGTTGTGCTGTTTAGACATCTCCTTTGGGTGATTAAAATACATTATTCTAATGTAACACAATGCATATGTGATATATTTAGTGATGAGAATTTTTTCAAAGAACTAGTACGACAGCCGTATGTACCCTGTACAACAGTTGCATATTATTAACTAGTCAATTGTTGAAATAATTTGGTGTGACTTTCAGTCCTCAGTTTTTCTCTGTGTATATCATTAAAAAAAAAATCTGTAAGCAATTGCAGCAACACTGACCTGCTTACAAAAATCCATCATTATGGGATGTGTATGCTAACAATGAAGAATGCTATTTGAAAACTTGCTTTTTTGTTATCTTGAAAGAACAGATGGTAAATATAAGCTTACTCTAATGTATTAAAACACATAAAATTTTCCTTAACACTAACATGTTGACTTGCCAAATAAACAATTGCTCCTGCCTAAGTTTATTTTCAAACTTTCTAATTTAGCATGAATCATGTATTAAATCTCAACAAAGACGAAAGTACATTAAAGCAGCTACCTGGAAATATTTCGGGATAAACCAAATCTTTGGGACAGAGTGGGTAACAACCACAATACACAGCTTCCAACCTAAAGAAATTTTAGGAAGAGGATAAAAATATATTAAAAAGACATTACCATCAGAACCAGAAAGTGGTTTTGTTTGTCTAAGTTAACAGTATGAGCCCAGAGTTAACTGGGATGAAGAATATGGTCGGCAGTACAATCCTAAAAGCCAAAGTTGCTCTTTTAAAAGATTTTATTAATCATATATGAATTTCATAGAACAGAACCAACAGCATATGTTTTGTTCACTGAATTAATCAAAGCGCAGCTCTGCATTTTTTTTTTTTGTTTTTAAAATACTGTTTAACACATTTTATAATCAGCAGATAAACACATGTAACAACATGGTAAAGTATGGACAGCTTTTCTTAATAATGCTGCAAAGCCCCAGAATGTTCATTTTTCAAAATGTTTAAATAAAATAGCAAATACTTTAACACTGTAGCTGTAGAAATCATCGAGGCACTTTTAAAAGCATCAGAAAAAAATTTACAATCTGTTGTGATGGGGCATTTTCATTTTAAGCTAAAGCTTCAGAATAGTTACTTATTAGGCAGGATATAGAACTATTCCCCCCTTTTATTGAAAAACTCTCATGAAGATTACCTTAATGAATATTTTGCTTTCCTGACTCAAAATTCAGCTCATTTTCCATTTTATCCAAAAAGAACACTGCTATTATTAAACAAAGAAACAAGAAAGTTTCACTTTGTGAGAGGATTTCCCCAGGGACCACCTACCTATAGGAAGTTTTTCTTCATGTCATAGCGGTAAGGGTTAAGTACAAGAAAGGTATTGCATCTTGATGGCTGTGTTAGCCCTGCATAATGGCTATTGATCTGACATACAATAAACCTTAAAGATATCACTGTAATTTCTGTTGGCTAGGAATTATGCAGTGAAATTCAAAACACTCTTTAAAATATGTTTATTTTATGAGAAACTTTGAATTGCATCCAAAATGTTGACCAAAGGCAGAATTTTATTTTGAACTGCAGATTTTTTTCAACCCAAGAATAGTTTGAAGTTATGTCAATGTTTACCTTGTTTATTTACAGCGACAAAGTACATGCAATTTAAGCTGTTTTTAAGTGGGTGATGTTTTCCCTATTTTATAACTGAAATTAGTTTAAATGAAAAGTATTTACTTTGAGCTGCAAAGTTTGGAAAAACACTGAGTTCAAAGTTTTGCTTAAGAACTGCTAGCAGTTACCAGATAACACAGTGGAAAGGCACAGGATCTAGTTACCAATGATTAATTTCAAAATCCAAACTAATATCTAATATTCTTTTTTACATAAATAGGGTATGTATAGAAATTCTTATCATAAGCACAGCTATAAAACTGCACTGTGACTGCATTATAAAACATTCACAAAAGTTTTGAGCACATAAACTGGGGATATTCTTTATGAACAAAAAGAAAATATGCACTTTATCTGAAGACACTCAGTTTTAAAATGCTTTGCCAATCGAAAAGCAAATACATATGAACATTCTCTTATAATTATATAAAATCAAAAGAGTGAAGTCACAGGCATTTCAGAAAGTGCACGTTATCTGCTTTTTAATAATGGATTTGAATTAGAGTGTTCTGTTCCCCGAAAGAAAACTGCAGGCCAAGTTACATTTTGAGTCATCGTATGAGCATGTACTC